ATAATATTTGGTGCCAGAAATCAGAGACAGCCCGGAAATGCCTTTGTCAATTTTTTACGAGATCGGATGAGATTTGGATATATCTTTATCCGATATTAGGTTTATTTTGCATCAAATGACAAATATCTACCCTAATGCAGTGACTTGTGGCACATCCGACTGAATTAATCCTAGAAACAACTACTTCAAATTTGGTAAATAACTCTTCTGATATAGCTATAGCTCCCATATATATCTTTCATCCGATTTTGAATTTTAAGTCTCTCACAGGCGTACTATGCGCCCCACAACAATAATCTTTGGTACAAGATATCAAATGCAGGTCAGAAATAAGTGTTTTGTTCAGATTGGGTCAGATTTGGATATATTTCCAATATATATCTTTATCCGCTAATATTAACCCAAATGAACTGAATTTTGGCACTTACGACCAAATTCAACCTAGAAACGTGTTCTTCAACTGTGGTGAAAATCGGCTCAGATATAGCCATAACTCCGATATATATGTTTCATCCCATTTTGGTGTTAAAGTCCCTCACATGCACTCCACAACAAGGGTATTTGATACCGGACATCAGATACAACACGAATATAGCTATTCCAAATTTTATCGAGATCGTTCAGATTTTTATATAGCTTCAACTTACATTCTCTTCCGATTTTATGGTTATTGTCCACCAAATATCTAATATCAGCTCAAATTGAATAGATTTTTTCATATTCAACCGAATTTTTCCATTTGGTGAATTTGGGTTCCGTATACCTTTGCTCCAATAAATATTTCTAATATAATTCTTATCGAAGTAATATCATGCACCAGGCAACAATGTTATTGGGAACTAGAGGTACTAAAGCCTCCGTCAAATTTTTTTGACAATCGATTCAAAGCTGGATATAGTTCCTAAATTGTGACTACTCTAAAGCCATGATACGCATTCAAATATGGTTCATAGTTGGTATTATTTACTTGACATAAACTCCCCATATAAACTTTTTTGTTTCGATACGGGAGGTCCACTAAATACGCATATGTTTTTTTCTCTTGGTTTCATAGTCGGCCCCGTCCGACTTTTGACCTTTCCTCACTGGTTTTAATAATTGATTTTTATCATTTAAATATCCTAAAAAGTCCCTGATTGGTCATATGTCTGAATTTATATTTTGGATCCACCATCCGCTTTACTCACACGGCTACAGATGTAGACCTCTAGTGGCTCTATCTATTTTTGTTGATCCCCAAAAATATTTTTTTTTTATTTCCATTTTTTTTTTTTAAATAAATTTCCAAAAATTATGCGTCTCATTCCAATTATCGTTATCAATAAAAATGATCATAATATTGCCATTAGCAATAAATTAAAGCTTGTTAAGAGAAGACATTATCCCCTAAAAACTGTTCATTTGATAGGCGGAAGTTGTCTATGATGTTGTTGTTGTTGTTGTCGATGAGGAGGATGCCCTATATAATGCGTTTTGATCGAAACGGACGCCAGGTCATTTATTATCAGAACTGTGTGACGTTTCTTTTTTTATTAGAATGCCACAAAGCAAAAACATTGAATAGCGCCGAGTTCTTTGATATACATATACACGTGCATGTGTGTGTGTAGTCAAACAGAATATTCAATGCTTTACGAATTTGTATGTGTGTCTGTGTGCGCATTGTTTTCGTTTTCAATTTTTATTTTATTGATATCAATTGCTTGTCAATCATTATTAAGTAATTTCCATTTGCTATGCACTGCCACCCTTTAGAAAAAACAAACACCGACATACAAACATTTGTGTATTGAAATAAATATACATTTGAAATTTTATTTGAATGCGTTTCGTTTTTTTTCGAAACAAAATGGAATGGAATTTGAAATCATGAATCTTCATTTGCATTTGATTAACTGAATCTAACCTAAAATGATTGAATGAATTTAAACAACAATTGTTTCGAAACCATGAGGAAAAAAACTGAAAAAAAAAACGTTGACAGAAAACATTTTATTGGAAATAAATTAAAGCTGGAATAAGAATGGAATCTACATTTTTGAAAGGCTATCACAGCTTTGAAAAATTAGTAGATTTTTTAGGTATTGGAGCTAACATTTAAAAATTTGAAGGAATATTTTCCTAAACCCTCAAAGCGTTATTCGTAAAGTTTCAAAGAAATTTTAAGAAGACATTAGAAGCTATCATCGCTTGTTTAAAATTTCCCGAATAATATTTCTAATTATTATCGTCGAGAAATTTAGAAAAAAAAATTTTTTTAAATTATTTTTCGAGACCAATAAGAGCTACAGTTGTGGTCTTTTTAAAGAATAATTCTTCAAAGAAATCTTTTTCAATGCAATTTAAAGTTAAAAATTTATTTCATTTCTATTTTTATTTCAAGGTCTATCCGACATATTCCCTTTTTAACATTAATTTTAATTATTAAAAATTTAATTTTAAATATTGCTGGATTGCTCAACTGCAATTTTTCGAGGTACAGGAAATTTACAATATTTTTTGTTCCTTTCGGATCTTGGCCTAACTTTAAAAAGAATGTGATTTCTGGGATATATGTTTCAAGGAATGTTCGAGTCGAAATCTCGAATTTTTTCACAGATTGCTTTTTTTCAAAGGACTATCAGAGCTACAATAATAATAATAATAATAATAATCTCCAACACGACTGCTACCAAAATCGTGTATTTTAAAATCAACCAAAATTTTGTATTTTAAAGAATATGTTCTAGGGCTATTGGAACTATATTCATGTTTTTGGAAGAATATTTTGGGGCATTAAATGATTTTTACAAGGATCATCTGAGCTATAATCACATATTTTTGAGTTTTTTTTTTTTTTCAAGGAAATTTATAGCTCCCAACTTACTTTGTTTTATTTTTTAATTCAAAGTTTACCAGATCCATCAATTTTTTCTTATCAATTTTCAATATTAATTACAGTTCTGATCGTAGGTTTTTAAAGAATATTTCTTCAAGGTTTATTGGAGGTATATTTTTTGAAGGAAGAAGCATCAGACTATTATTCGTGGACTTTTGAGAATCGTGAAGTGAATACCAAGGAGCAGCAGCCAGACTTTAAAGAACAAATTTTGAAGGACCGTGAATTCAATACTTGAGGATTTTGAAAGAATTTATTTTTAAAAGGACACCAGACTACTACTCGTGGATTATTAAAGAATTTTTTAAAAAGGACATCAGACTACCACTCCTAGATTTTTAAAGAATTTTTTTAAAAAAAGCATCATGCTACTGCTCGTTGATATTTAATTTTTTTCAAGAAAACAGACTACTACTCGTAGATTATTAAAGATTTTTTTAAAAGGATCTCTAAAGATTTTTTTAAAGGACATCAGACTACTGTTCGTGGATTTAATTTTTTTAAAGAAATTTTAAAGATTTTTTTAAAAGGACTTCAGACTAATACTCTTGGATTTTTTAAGAATTTTTTTTTAAAAAAGGACATCAGACTACTACTCGTTTATTTTTAAAGATTTTTTTTTAAAAGGTGGTTGTAAAGATTTTTTTTTAAAGAGCATCAGACTACTACTCGTGGATTTTGAAATAATTGTTTTTAAAAAGGACATCAGACTACTTATCGTGTATTTTTAAATAGGTAGACTCGTGGATTTTTAAAGAGTTTTTTGAAGGGGCGTCAGACACGTGGATTTTTAAAGAATTCTTTGAAGGGGCGTCAGATTTGTGGATTTTTAAAGAGTTTTTTGAAGGGGCGTCAGACTCGTGGATTTTTAAAGAATTCTTTGAAGGGGCGTCAGATTCGTGAATTTTTAAAGAGTTTTTTGAAGGGGCGTCAGACTCGTGGATTTTTAAAGAATTCTTTGAAGAGGCGTCAGACTCGTGGATTTTTAAAGAATTCTTTGAAGGGCGTCAGACTCGTGGATTTTTAAAGAATTCTTTGAAGGGGCGTCAGACTCGTGGATTTTTAAAGAATTCTTTGAAGGGGCGTCAGACTCGTGGATTTTTAAAGAATTCTTTGAAGGGGCGTCAGACTCGTGGATTTTTAAAGAATTCTTTGAATGGGCGTCAGACTCGTGGATTTTTAAAGAATTCTTTGAAGGGGCGTCAGACTCGTGGATTTTTAAAGAATTCTTTGAAGGGGCGTCAGACTCGTGGATTTTTAAAGAATTCTTTGAAGGGGCGTCAGACTCGTGGATTTTTAAAGAATTCTTTGAAGGGGCGTCAGACTTGCTGATCAAGAATATATATACATTGTGGGGTCTAAAATGTATATTTCGAAGTGTATACAAACTGTATACCACCATACTATGGTGGAGGGTATAAAAAGAAAACATCCTTGCCAAAAGTTTTCAATATAGGTGTTATGGTATAACTCTGATATAGGACTATTCCTTGATTTTAGCTATTTCCGGAGTCTTGGTCGAAATTTTCAATTTGTTTGGATCTTATTTGGCATATAAAAACCTCTTTGCAGAAAATTTTCAGTACATGTCAGTATTAAGGAGTAGCGCCAGATTTTACCTATTTCAAGAGTTTTTTTGAGGAATTTTTGTCTGGGATAACTAAAGTTATACTTTTATATTTCTTAACATTTTTGTTAAGGACTATCAGGTCTATAAACGAGATTTTTTGGAAAACAACAAGCTAAACCTTTTCCGCTTTATTATAAAAATTAAGGTTAAAAAAATTAAATCTTCTCAGAGAAGTATTGGAGCTATTAGAGACCACAAATGTACCATTAGGAAGTATTTTTTTATCGTCTAGATAAAATGGGAACCTTTTTAGTAATTTTTCAACGGCAATGAGTCGTATAAAAATTGATTTTTTTAAATATATTTTTTAAATGACATTTAGTACTTATATTATGGCATTTAATTTCCAATGTCGCATATTATTAAGCATTTTCCAAAAAATATTTCACTTTCTTCCATTAACGATTCTCTCATCGCTTAGCACTTGTGATTAATGACTTTTCAATATTATTAATTATTTCCATTTTTATATCTTTCTCATTGCAGATGCCAAAGCTTTGCCATCAATATTTGTGAAATACGCAATCTATTCCCAAATTAAATACCACTCAATAGCTATGCTATATTGAAAATTAAAAAAAAAAAAAACAAAATACCATCCGAAAAAATAACTAAAAAAAATCCCCAAAAAACGACAACGAATTTTTTTATTGCATTTATTTTACATCCAACGGCTGAGCGCAAGATATTTACCACCATTAAGACTTAACATAATTAAAGGAAGTCCATCCTAACAACAAACTCGCCCACTCCACACCTCCACCACACACAGACAACTTCAGTCAAGATGTTGTTCAATTGTGCGATACTGTTTTTATGGGCCATTTTATTGCTACAAGGTAAGTCGGAATAATAAAAATCTTACAGCAATAACAACACAAACAACACCAACAAATATTACAATACATATTACGAAACAAAGAAATAAAAAGAAGAAGAAGAAGAAGCACAACAGCAGCTATTCTGTATACTTAATTAGTTTAATTAAAAATTTGTTCCCTTAATAAATTTTGAACCATTTGTTGGGTGTTGTTGCCTTGGTTGGTTTGCCTAGGAATTTCATTTTCATACTGTCACACAGACACACAACACACACTCATAAAATACACCACCAGACGCACACACACAGAAGCATTTTTATGTTTCATCTTTAATGTTTGATGTTCCTAGGCTACAAGCTCTACGTACGTAAAATTGCTTTAAATGTGACATTTATGAAGTTCTGTGAAAACAGGGACGTAGGTGGCAGGGTGCAGGCGGTGGGCAGTTTTTTTTTTTTTTTTTTTGGAAAAAGGTGCCTCTTTTTGTTGATGTCCTAGAAATTGTAATTATGCTCACCCCCTAAATTTTTCAAAAAAGGTACAATTTGTCCAGCAAATGTCCTTTCCCTCCATCAAATGATTTTCCCAAATTATGGTACTCCCACGCCGTTGCCTCAAAAATCTCTAATCAAATACATGGAATCTTTACGTTTAAGTATCTTGCTCTCTCTCTCCCCCCTCCTCCTTCCAGCAAGTATTGTCTTCCCTGTTCATCGTGTTCTTGTTGTTGTTACCATTGTGTCACATTCCCTGAACAATAATAATTTTACAGATAAATTAAATGGCATTTGATGAATGCCGATGTGACAGATATACATACCTACACCATTCGATGCGATTGCCATGCCATGCCATGCCACCATGCCACCATGCGACGATGCGACTTCATGGAAATTCTGGCAAAAATAAAGTTGACACGCAAAGTCATTTAAAAAGATAAAATGTTATTGGCTATGATATGAATGAAATTATGAATTTCATGAATGTTTTCAAGTATTTGTCTATCTTCGTGTATGTGTGTGTGAGTACTCTAGTGAATATATGCGTGTGTGTGTTTGCGTCTGAGTCTCAGTATGTCTGCCTGCCTGTCTGTATGGAAAATTAATGTCATCAGAAAGCAATTACTTAACACCAACAATTGACAGGATAATACAGTCAGGATGATCCTTTTTTGTTGAGACGACATAAATTGCTGATGAACAGAAACAAAACAAAAAAATATTCTTTTTTAAGTAAATTTATTTATTTATGGCAATTGCCATAATAATACAGTGGCTCAAAGGCGATCTGAAATTAAAATTCCTGAAAAATTAAAGGTTACTTAAAATTTTGCAATTCAGCAAATTTTTAAAGGTGTCCTCATAGAACATCTTCACACCATTTCTAGCAAAAAAAGCGATATGCAACATTTGATAAGGAGTCGGATGCTCATTTTACATTTCATATGAGTTAAAATATTTGAAATCTTGACCCCTTATGGGGGACCGATATATTTCATCTCCACACCATATATTGGCATGATAGAAATATTGTAATATTTGAAGCTTGGAATAAATCGGATTTGGGTTATTCCAAATTTTGACCCATTGTGGGAGAGGTATTTAATCTTCAGACCAGATCTTGCTTTAATAAAAATAGTGGGATGTGTAAAGTTTGAAAAGAATCAGGTGCTTAATTAGATTTTTATGAGCGTTTTGTTTTTCAAAATATTGACCCTTTTGTGGGGGGAGGTACCAGGAGAATAGATCCATTCGATACGTTCTTCATATCAGATCGGATGCTTATTTCATATTTTATATGTGCTATAGTTATTCAAAATTCTGACCCCTTTGGGGAGGTACCAGGAGCAGTGGTGCGATATATTCCACATCTACACCAGAGATTGTTTTGATAAAATTATTTAAATGTGCCAAGTTTAAAAGGAATCGGATGGTCATTTCCCGTTTCATAAGTTTCATGTTTATTCAAATGATGACTTCAAAAATTTTTTGGAGGAGTTACCAGAAGTTGTGGTCTGTTCTCTCCGTTCTTTATGGCTATTCCAAATGTTGACCCGATTTGAGGGAGGCACGAGAAGAAATGGTCCGTTCTATCCATTCTTCATATCAGATTTAGTGTTTGTAGAATTATTGAGATATGCGAAACTCGAAGACAATCGGACTTTTATATCACTTTTTATAAGAATTATAATTATTCAAAATGTTGCCCCGTCGCGGAGGATGTACTTGATGGAGTGCGCTGATATTGTCCAGTTTCGCACCTGACCAAGTACTGATAAATATATTAAGATTTGCAACGTTTGCTCAATATTGAATAAAGGATCATTCAAAGGATCATTGTTCTATGAGGAAAATAATTTTCCGTAAAAAGTCTGACCTCTTTAGGGGGAGTTACTAGAAGGGCTGTAGCGATAGTGCCAATCTCCAATCTCGATCTAAGTTTGAAAATAATGTTACAATGTACCAGTTTGGATCAAATCATATACTACCTTCGAGATTTATCGAGCACACCATCCAGATAGACATACGGACCGACATACACCCTTAGCTTGATTCTAATTTTTTTGAAACTAATGTGGTCCAGAAAGACCTATATTTTAAAACCTTTATTTCGATTAAACACGTTTTGGCTGTATCAAATGGTATATACCCTCTATAGCAATATAACTGAGGGTTTAAACAATTGGACATTGCGGAAGAGTGTTTTGAAATGCCAAAAAAATCAAGAGATTCAGTTATATTGGATATAGACCAAAACCTCAATCGATGAAGCCCATTTTTATTACAAAACATCTTAGGAAACTCTTGTGACAAATAATGGATGAAATTGTCTGGTAAAATATGGTGACCTCCTCAAGCCATGCGGCCTTTTCTATTGCCTTTAGGATACTGATCTCTCCATAGAAGCCGAATTTCATTTGTTTTTGTTGAGATCTGTGACTGGTAGTGAGAAAAACTCAATTTTAAGAGATCGCAAGTATATCGTTTACACCAGGGCCAGGAATAAGAAGGCATACATACCTTCAATGAGCGAAATTCCCTCTACACTCACCATCAGAACCACTGGAAAATAATACAGGGAGCAACGAAATTGGGAGAAAATAAAAATTTCAATCTCTGTCCGGTCTTGGTTAAAACCACGACGGGGTTTAAGCTCAACTAATTGTTTGAAACCTAACTTCTGCTGGCAGAGGAATTCTTGGAGTTTCTTATAGTGGAAATTTGTTTAGCTTCTCTTGTAGATTCCATGGTCGACTAGCATCTCTTCACAGGAAACTTTAGACTACCCTCAATGATGGAAAATTTTCTTGGATTTTTTTTTAATCATTTATAGCGCCTTTACGTTCATACCTCCTTATTTTCAACGGAGTTGATTGGGTTCCTATTCGTAATTTCCTTTTCAGTGATTTATCAGAAGCACTGCAATGATAGATGTATGATCGCTTGTGATTAGGGGTAGTCCCTATTACAAACTTCAAATACAAAATTTGAAATTATTCCGGAAATAATAATTCCAAAACACTGAAAATTACGAGGTACAGTTATATGGCGCCTATACCAAAACTTGGACCTATATGTACAGTTCTCTGCAAGGTTTTTTTTAATATATACTGGAAACACTTACTACTAATTTGCAACAAATTCATTTTGAAATTGTGATTAAAACATCCAAAAACCATTAAATCGGCCGGTCCAGTTATATGGGGTCTATACCAAAAAGTGGAGTTATATAACCCATTTTCAATACCAAAAGCCCTGCAGAACGATCAAATATCTGAATAAAATTTAATTAACCTACTTTATTTCTTCCAGAAGCTAGAGAGATTTCTACAGACGGAATGACAGTCAGACAGGCGGACGGACATCGCTAAATCGACGTAGAATTTTATGCTGATGAAGAATTTGTATACTTTGCGGATCGTCATGCTGTATGTGGTCTAAAATACTTATTTCGAGGTGTTACAAGCGGAATGACAACTTAATATAGCCTCCATACTATGGTGGAGGGTATCCAAATTATGAAATACGTATAAAATGAAGAAATTATCCTATTTCTTCGCATTGATAATAAAACCTAGATCAGGTATATATACGGACTATACTGGATTAAGAATCAAGATTTTGAAAAATCATAATTCTCTCAATATGGAAAATTATTAACCAATGGGGTTATAGAAAGAAGCAGATGCTAAAGGAATGCAACTTTGTGCAAATTGGACTGATACGATCCAAACTATTTTTTCTGGATTTAGCTCCAATAACAACTTCTTAAAATGAACTTGTTTCGAGGTCTATATCATTTATTGCTCAAAAACATACATTTTTTTCTAATCAAAAATATTGCCAAAAACCAGAATGTTTCTTGAATTTTCGAACCAGGCACTAATACCAATTTCAGCCAATTTTGAATGTGCCAACACCTCTTGGACTCCACGTTTAAAAATTTTAAAATACCTAATTTTGTTGTTGCAAGGGTTTATATTTATTGCTGACTTTTCCCCCAATTTTTTTTCTTCACTGAATTACATATAATTCACTCTGGTATTATTTATTTAAAAGAAAAAAAAATCCAAAAATATAAGTTTCCCCCCAAAATTGCCTTAACCCTCTTAGCAGGGGTTTTTGATGATTGTCACATCACACTGAATTAGTTATGAAACGAAAAAATCAAATCAATCCTTTTTTTCTCCATTTCCTTGGGATCATATTTTTTCTTCAATGGTGAAGAGCAGTATCAACACCATTATTCCATTCAGTCTTTACTAAATTCTTAATATTGTTGTCGCAATTTTTTACATCTTTGTTATCTTCCAAAATGTAGAAAAAAAGCCAATGCGAAATAGCACTTCTTAGACTATGATAAATGCAATGTGGAATGAAGGATTGCTTTAGCGATTACCCATTCTCCGCCACAGACAGCGAGAGACAGAGAGAAAAAAATACACGTTACAGCCATAACTACTTGGGATTCTTAAATGGTCGTATGTCTTCCAAGTTATGTTTTTTTTTTTCTTATTT